TGCTCCATCCCAGCCTGGCCCTATTTCTCAGGTAAAAGACTAATGTAAGTGGGAACAGACTAAGGAAGAGAATATCTGAGGTCTCTCTGGAAACTCAAAATTATTTGGTTTAGTTAAAAAAATAAAAATAAAAACAAAAACAAAACTTGAGTGAGCCTTTCCATAAAATAACTCACCTTCTAAGGTGCCTTTGAGCCTATTCATTTAACTTGGCCTCTATAGACTGAAATAGGTCAAAGGACATCTCACAAATTTTTATGAAGGCATTTAGTAGGCTGGCATAGGTACAGAGAGAAAAAGAAACTTAAAAGTAATCAATGAGTCAAATATTATATGTTCATATTATATGTACATAGATATGCACAAATGTATACACATAAAATTTCACAATTATCTTTACCTTGTTCGGTGTGGACTTGATTGGCCAGGACACCCAAAAGTCCTATTGCCCCCTTGTGGTCACTGAAGTATCAGAGATCTTGATACTTAAAAATCCTCTGGGTTGAAGAGCTTAAAAATTACAACATGAGAAACCATGGAAGCATGTAGAAGTAATTTGCATAATTTAAGCCAGTTCATCATATCAGTCCTGATGATTTATGGCAAAATGAAGTGTAAGTAATGGAAGAAAAGACCCTCCCCATGCAAAATCAAGTTGGGAAAAAAAAAAAGTCCACTGAAAGCACTGAACATGTGCTACTTGATTTTAAGTATAAAGTGCTACATTTTTGAAACTACATTTTGTCACTCAAAAAATAAGTGAACACTTGTGAACATTTTAAGTGACTGGAAAATTTCAGTGGTACCTTAGCAATATTCAAGTGGACTCATAATTTAGATAGAAATTGTATTTTTATTTGTTAAACTGTCTTAAATCAACTTGGTAATTATAAATAAAGAATTAAAATTGTAATCTTCTGAACTTTAGTTATTCATTTGACCTCACAAAAGTGACTGAAATTTTACAAAAGCAAAAAATACATCCTGACTTATTATTTGATTTCTGACCTCTGACTTCCTATACTTTCAGCTAAATCTGAGCTTAGAAAAATTCGTGAATTAGTATGTTTTTAATGAGTTTAGTCTACATATATTTTTTACATTAGGCTGCAAATAAATATTTTATATACACTACATAAATCATGTTAATGTAAATATGTAAATGATTTCCTACACAGTGGAAAGGTTGTTTATATTTTGACTGAAATCAGAGAACCCAATTTTCTGTAATATCTATTAACTGAGACATAATGCTTCTTTCCTGTTTATAATCAATTTCTTCTGCACAGTACCTTTTCTAATTCAGTTTAAATTACCCTTTTTCTGTGATGAACTTGCATTTTCACATTTGCCAGCTGTGAATGCATTTTATGGTAAGTACAAAAGTAGTGGGTTCAGAAACAGCCCTTTGATTTCATTGTTGTTGTTGTTAACTATTTAGCTTGACATTCTTGGATTTGAACACACAGAAATCTCCAATTATTTCTCTATCCTAAAAAGGCCTGAATACTAGACACATACAGTACAGCCTTTTATTTGAAAATTCTTATCACTTATTCCCTGAAGTCATTATAATTTACTTCTATTTCTCTCTTAAAATCAGAGAATATTTCCCAGAGGTAAACAGTGAGGTAAATACTAGTATTGTAGCAAGTTAAAAGAAAATAACAGCTGTATCCTCATTTGGAATGTGTGTTCTGAATTTGTGCATTTTCCTACATGTACAGTCATGTGATTATTGGTAATTATACAAATAAAATAATACAAAGTGCATTAAAATTGGGTACATCTTGTTTGCATCTTAAGAGAGGCATTTTCATCTTTCCACTGTACATTTATGGTAGATGTTTAAACAGCAAGGACATAAAATAAAAATATTAAGACCTTAGCCTCTTTTTCCATTTATTTAAAATTCACTAAATATATGTGAATGACTCTATCACTATCAACGTAAGTGTACAATGAATGCATAAAAATTTAAAACTAGTTTTCGGAATTCCTGCTTTGGCTCACATGTGTTGGTCTCATACACTATTTGATATTGCTCAGGAAGACGAGTTCCTTTTGAATTCACTTTATATACAAACATGTCACATTATTAAAAATAATTGCTCTAGAAATAATATGCTTAAATCATAGAAATGAAGCCAAAATAAACTGTAATGGTGTGAGGAAATTCACCCTTATATGTTATTTTAAAATGAAAAAGTTTTTATATACTGATTTTTTTATGTCAGTGGCTTCATGTACAAATAAGTTTATATGCGTTATCATTAGTCAAATACAGTCTAATGTAAATTTATATAATAAAACATATACTGTATACTGCACATTGTCTTCTTGACTGTCATTTATTTAAGTGCTGCAAATTCTTTATCAATGTATCTAGATACTACAAAAGAAAGAAGAGAAGGTTGAAAAACCTAAAAATGAGAATAATTGTGCAGCTATGCAGGGAGAACTGTCAGCAACCTGGCACATGTGCATTTAATGTGAAGCTTCTTGTCTCTAAAAATAAGAGTGAGGCTACACATGCCCCTGTGTCTGACAGAGAGAAGGGAGGGACACAAAAAGAGGGCTCACCACATCACCTACATTCATCAGAGGAGTGAAGGATGTTACTTCTTTGGTTTCCTGGTTTTAATAGAAAAGTATTTGTATTCACATCACTGAGTATTAGTCATTCAATAGATGAAAGGAATATTTTAAACTTTAAAGGCTACCTTGGTATCATTTTAGGAAGTGGGGATGAGACCCTGGGGAAAGTGTTGAAATACTGGAAAATTAATTTTAACTATTAGAAGTGATTTAATATTTGTGAGTTTGTAGCTCTGTGCATTTTAAAGACTAATTATGGGGATTTATGTTTTTAACTCTAATGTTTTAGTTTACAAGTTTCTTTCTTAAATCTTCTACTTGTGTGAATACCACTTCATCTTCTCTAAAACAAGTGTGTTCTCCTTATATTTTTTTGTCCCTTTCCAAGGCTAATCTATTACTCATTTACATTTTCTATGCATCCTTTAAAGGCACTTAAGATGCTTCTTGATACAATTTCTAAAATATTAAATAGGCATAATGGCTAGGAATATGTAACATTTAAGAAATGTTACAGAAACTACAGAATCAGAGAGGTTTAAGAAGAAAATTTCATATCTCTTTTTCATGTTATTAGGCAAATCAAAACTACAGGAGACAATTTACCATAAAATAAAAATATCTGAGGCTGTCATCTTTAAGAAGTCGCTACTATAAACACCAGAAACAACTCAATTTACTTTGTATTTCCAGGTAGAAAGGGTGGAAAAAGTTTGGAGCCTTATGTGAGATCAAACTTTGTACCTATCAGAAATAAAAGGAAATCATAAATGATAGAGAACTACAACAACAAAAAGTTCATCTTAAACATGTGATCAGGTTACTCTGTAAGATCTTTGAAATGGGTGATTTGGCAATTAAAATTTTAAAGATCTTCCTCTTATTATCCACCTCTTGAATAAAAAGTGTCCAAAACTGCCTAATAGAAAACAGATTTCTCTACGCAGTCTTTCTTGCTGTTCGGGTTGGATGAATTCAACTAGAGATATTGGGTATTTTTTTTTTTAATTCTAGTTTCTCTTTGAAAGATAGGTATTGAATAATACCTGAAAATGGTAAATACTTGCGAAAGAGAAAGGTCTTGCGTGTTATGAATTTAACACGTAATGACATTCTTTAATATTAAGTATAATTTATGCAGCGAAATGGAAACTATCAGAGTATAGGCAATCCAAGGAAACCCTTAGAAAATGATAAATGCATAGGAAAAACGATACGCAACCCTCAGAAGATTCTCTCGTAATGTTCCACTTCCCTCAACAAACTACGGTGAAAAGATAGGTGGAGGTGAAGGGGAGCTTGAAACAAAAGACTTCCTTTTCCCACTCCCCTTTCCTCTGTTTCTTTAGCCAGAGCTTGTTGCAAACTCTTGAAAACATTGTTTAAACATAAAACATTTAGTTACTTTTTTCTGGCAGGAATTGTGGTGGATGGTACTCAAAGTTGACTGCTCTTGAAGTAACAAAAAGAGAGAAACTTTTCAACTAGGCAAAAAACAAAGTTACCCTGCCCGCGGAGGTTCTAACAACAAAAAATGCAAAAGGAACTTTACTTAAAGGCACAGCTCATTTCACTGTCCGGGCTCCGCGCTTGGTAGCTGAGACAAGGCTATGCTTCGCCTCTGGTTTCTAAAAGACCGCGAGGAGTACAGCTATAGACAAGGGTGTAAGTTGGGAGCGTTATTCTCGGATTTATCCTGCTCCACGAAAGCTGCGGTTGCTAAAAGCAGAGCGTCCAAAGCAGCACACACCTCGGCTGCCATCCTCGTTCTCCTCCGAGCATCCAGCGCGAGCTCAGAACCTGGAGGGAATCCTGGACCAGCAACCTGACTCCGCTCGGCAACGATTGGCTCCCACCTCGGACCCCGCCCCCGAGGCCGGGGCGGCCATTTCGCCAGGGCCCGCCCCTTGGCCCTGGGAATCGCCTCCTGGCAGGCCGGCTGTGCCTGCCACTCAGCCCGAGTGGCGGAGGCTCTGGGCTCGGAGCCCCGCCCTCTCCCCCCTAATTGATATTATTGGAGTGTGGAGCAAGCGGCCGGTCTGCAGTCGGAGACTTGCAGGCAGCAAACACGGTGCGAGCGAACAGGAGGGGGGGACGAATAAAAAAAGCTAAACGTGGAGCAGCCGGTCGGGGGCCGAGAAGGGGAATCGATGCAAGGAGCGCAATAAAAAAAAGCTACTTCGGAACAAACAGCATTTAAAAATCCACGGCTCAAGATAATTGAAACCTAAAATAAAACCTGCTTATGCACCATGGTTTTTCAAACTCGGTACCCTTCATGGATTATTTTATGCTACATCTGGCTGCTCCGCTTTGCACACACGGGGGAGGCGCAGGCTGCGAAGGAAGGTAAGGTGATGGGAAAGCAAAGTTTGTTCTGACTTATTTATTTAGCTGCCTACCTGCACGAACCAGCTCGTCCGCGGCGCTGCCGGCCGCGCCTCCGGCGCCGGGCGACCCTCCCCCGCCGGCTCCCCGCCCCCTCATCGCTCGGGCTGCTCCAGGCGGAACTACGAGCGCGAGCCAGGGCCGCTCCGAGCCGCCTGCAGCCCGGTGCCCGGGGCCGTCCATCCGACGGGTGCGGGATTTCTGGCGCGGGCAGTCCGGAGGGCGTGAGCAGCAACGCAGGTGGGGTAGGGCTGGAGGAACGGCCGGCGAGCTTATTTCGTAGGACCCCAGGCGGGTCACATCTCTCCCTGTAGCTCTTCCTTCCCTCCGCGTTCGCCTTCGGTGGGAGCTGCGGCCAGAGTTGGGTTGGAGACCCGGGAGTGCAGCCCGTAGCGTCCCTGCCAGCCCGCCGGCGAGTGGCGGGAGCCGGGAGCCTTCCCAGAGGGACAGAGACTTTGGAGAGCTCGGGTTACTAATGAAGTGCTCACTGCGTCGGAGGCAGCGGCGCGGTCCTGCGGTTGGCGCTCGGCCGCCGGCGCGGAACAATAACGCCGGGGAGGTGAAGCGCGGCGTGCGGCGCGCGACCCGAGGGCCGGGGATGTCTCCATTCAGCGCGCGCTGCGCGTCCGGCCCAACGGTCGTGGGGGCAGCGGCAGCCCAGCGGGCTTGCTCGGGCCGCGGAGGCAGGGGGCGGGCTGGAGCCGTGCAGTTTGTAAGGGGAAGCCGCCTGGGCGACTCGAAGTCCCCAATTATTTGCCCCAGAGTCCAGCAATTGAGGAATCCGAATGGCCAAACCTTGCCAAAGACCTAGACCCTGAGGGTTGGTTCCAGTAGGAGAAGGCAGGTTTTATTTGGCCAGTTATTATAGATACGCCTGTATGTGTTTATGTTTTCCTTCTCCTTTGAACCTTTGACGGAAGGTAAAATACCTTTCGGTGCCTGTAGTTGGAGCTGGGGAAAAATAAACCCTGTCAATGGAAGTGTCTTGCTTTTGAGCAATGTCACAATCCTACCCTCAGCCCCCCTCATCCCCTCGCCCCCGGTCTTCCAGGCTATGTATCTAAGTTTCATTTTTTGATCTGTTAAAAGCAGAATCGAAATAATGACTTATTTCTGAAGTGTAGAGGGGAAAAAATCTGTTATCAAATTTAGGTCATGGTGGTTATTGGGCGGGGGTTGTTGGGATGGGGGATTACATATAGGTCCCTGCTTTATTCCTGAAAACTAAGTGGAGCTTTTCTTTATTCTCACCGTTCAACCCTCTTAGTTCACTCAAGCCCCCCTCCAGCCCGGCGCCACATTCTAGTCCTTCATTCAGCCTGACCTTCTGACCCCACTTTCCACATCTGCAACCTGTTTAGATGCTGAACCCATTCAGAGAACCCCAGGCCTCCGAGCTGATGGTTACGTGTTTGCAGATGGACGGACATCTGCTAGAAACGCACACTCATCCCCTCCAAAACCGCATTTCTACCCCCTTACGTTAGCGATCAGAAACATTCAGCCCTGGCACCCTGTGATTCCTCTGGAATAGCGGACCAGAGGAAAAGTTTGCACCGCCGCGGCGAAGCCCCGAGCGCTAACACACGCAGACTCTGGCTGGAGTTTGGGCTATAAATAACTGCATCACTAGGGGGAGAGGTTCCTGCAGCTAGAATGTCTCGCTGGCTTTGCTCTTCTGGGTGCAAGCTACGTGAAGAGGATTCTGATTTTAGGAGCCTGAATTCTTTAGATGCAGAAGTGAGATGTATAAAAGGCGCGGGGGCGATGGGAGGGAGGGTGTTGGTCGGTGGCTGGCGGGAGGCGAATGCGCCTGGGTTCTAGGCGGCGACGCTTCTAGGGCTCAGCGGCGACCGAGAGTTGGCCTTCTAGGAGCTCACAAGCCCCGAGGCATCCCGCGGCACCCAGGGGCTAGCGCTGGGAACCGCTTGGAGCAGGTGCCGGACCTCCTGGGGTATTTGCGGGCGGCTGGAGGAAGATAAGAAACCCCCTCCCCTCACTTTCCTTGTGCAGGTTCTCTCGGGTAGGTCAGTTATCATGGCTACGGGGAGCGCTTGTGAGAGTCTGACGCTTGGAGGCAAAGTACAGCTGCTACTTTTTCTCAGTAAATGCCCCCCCTGCCGCCGCCGCCTCCCCTCAGAGCAGACGCTTCCCGAAAGCCACTCTCCTTTTCCCAGCTCTTTCTCGATCGCGGGCGCCACTGGCTCCCTGGAGTGCCCAGGTCTGGCCGAGGCGTAATGGATGCTTGGCGCAGCGGGCGCGCCAGTCTGGCAGCCCCCGCCCCGCCCCGCCGACTGCCCCGCCCAATCCCGGGGACGCCAGCCTTTGCCCGCGCGGTCCTGGCCGGGGTCGGCCGGGGAGCGCCCTGCATCTGTCCCATATCCCATCACCTTCCCGGCCCTCACAGCGGGGCGCGGAGCCCCAGAGTCCCCTGCCTGCTCCCCAGCTCTCGGGTGAGCCCAGAGACTGCGCCTCTGCGGGCGCAAAGGGAGCTTGGCACTCTGCTCCGAGCGGGAAGGGAAACGCGCTCACTTGAGGGTTTAACCAGAGAGCGAACGGACCAGAAGAGAGACGCACTGATCACTTGAGAGCGGCTTCTAATTAAACGTTGTAGGGCCGGGTTCTGTTTTGTTTTAATTTGTTCGTTTGTTTCTCTCTTAACTTGTTGCCCATCACTGCTCTGCTTAGGTCCCTAGCTTCCACCCCCAGACTGAGCTGAAGGGTAGAAGAATGGCAATAAACAGTAATCTTGCAATGTTTATTCCATTCTCGGAAATGACCCAAGGTCACCTGGATTTAAAACCCTGTTGTCTATATTCAGCACACAAGAAAAAAATAACAAAAATAAAGAAAAAACATCTCAAAAAAATTAAAGAGTACCTGGCACCCACATTGTTTCCTTGTGCTTCATCTCAAAGGTTGGGGATAAAAATAAACTTTAAAAATTACTACTTTTTATGTAAATTCGCCAGTCCAACGATTTATCGATGTTACAAGTTAAAATGCAAATTGACATTTTAAAAGTGTTGTGTGTGCGTTTCTCATTTGAAAGGGAGTCTAATATTTGTGATCAAGTTTTTCTTTTCCTGTCAAGCCTTCCTGGGGAGTCTTAAGTGTAAAATGCTAAACAAAGAAATGAGGAAACAAAAACCCTAGTGATTCTATATCTATTTTCATTTACAGTTAATAACCTTGACTAGTGTGAGGAGTTAAACACAAAATCATCTGGTCCTTTGAACACATAATCAACTGTTCCTTTGTTTTCTTATCGTTACGGATTTTTAAATTGTCTTTCAAATAGATATTTTATCCCTAGTGATTAAGTTGCATAATTATTAAAAGTTCATATAAGCATGTATTTTAAGTCAAAATTTTAACATTTTGCTGAGGTTGATTCTAAGCCTATTGACATACTTAAAATATATTCACAATTATTTCTGGACAAATTTATGCATTCGTCAAAGTGATAGAGAATCAGATAAATATTTTTAAAGTGCAAAAACTCATGTAACTCTGAAACCAGTTTGATCAAAAGAATGAGTGCTTTAGCAAAGTAATTGTTCTAAAAGACAATAAAATGTATCAAATTCGAAATATGTGCATTAGTATATGACATTCTAATGCATTCTCATATTGATAGTATCAGGAACATTTATAATACTTGATATAAATGTTAAATTAATCATATTATGCTTTTTGATAGCATAAAAGTGAAATACAAGCGTTTAGAAGTCAACTCAGAGTTTATGCCATTTTGAGAATTAGCTTACACTTTGAGAATTTAGAAATAAAAAATGCTGAAAAAGTTGATGTTTGACTAACTCAAAAATATATCTTGTAAAAGGCAATTAATTTTTCTGATTATAACTTTGCTTAACATAGTTTTTAACATTTTTTGTATTCATTTTAGCTTAAGAAAAGACACCATATGTGAAAAGATTTTTTTTAAAAGATAAACTCTAGTTCTCAAAACACAATAGAAACTACTGTTGGCAGAATATTTGGAATTAATGACTGGATCAAGAGTAATGTAGGAATGACATCTTATTATGTTCATGTTATTATATTTGACAAAGTTTGAAGGGCTCAATTGTTTACAAAACTATAATATATCATTACAGTAGAATTACTGTATCACATATAAAATTTCTACCCTCACTTTTATTCTAATATTGCATTTTAAGATTTATTTTAATATTGTAATTAAAGTGTACCAAATATAACTTTGGTGACTTAATATCTTTTTCCTCTAAGGAAGTGGAATATACTTGTATCAGGAGGCCGGTCATTTTACCATTCATTTACTATTTATAGTAAGTCATAAAATGATGATTATATAAAAAGACTCACCTTAAAAATGTTTACATATATGCTTAAGTGTTTCATGTAACATCTGGAAATACAACTTTCTTTTTCAGTACTACTGCTGGATTCTAAAGCACAACAAACCGAGTTGGAGTGGATTTCCTCTCCACCTAATGGGGTAAGTTCTTTTCATCATGAAATATCACTATTTATTTTGTAAAATAAGAAACAAAACTTTTCCTTTCCCTCCTGGATAATTTTCACACTCTTCATGTATAAACTCTTTTAATTCCAAGTATTTTATCCAATATTATGTTGTGTTTATAATGAGACATAGAGTTCTCTGAGTAGAAAAGGTGTACTTAAAACTTGGGGAAATGGGAAAAACAAATTCTTATAACCATAGTCTTTTGAGCTCTTATTGTGTGGAGTCATACCTGAGGGTCCAGGCTATAAATGCTAACTAATTAGCGGGAACATTCCTTTCACAAGCTCACTTAAACCTACTTAGTTGCTTTATATTTCTGTAGTATAATCACCAGGTAGGTCATATGTAATTCTTTAAAATGGTGTGTAATCTGTTTCCTTTTTTAAAAACGGTTTTAGCATCATTCAAAATGTACTTTAAAGTGTAACTAAAAATGTGCTATGCTTAACATTTTTGTATACAATTTGCTATAAAACATAGATTCTCCAAATTTATATTATGTGCTATCTGCTGTTATTAATCAGAAGTGATGGCAAAGCTTGCACACATTACAATAAAAATCTGGAATAGATATGAGTGAAAATTGTCCAATAATAATCTACCAAAAATATTAGTAAGTCTTCAAAAATACTGACCATTATTTTTCATATGTAAATTTAGTTCAGTATCCATATCTTCAGATCTTATTTTTATTGTGAGAGAGGGCATATTCTTTATTCCTTATTAAGGAAGAGGGCTCTGAGAAAGGAAAAGATATTGTTATTTAAGTTTATCTTTGGCACATTAAAAAATCTGAAGTCAAAAGTGTGGAATGTAAGTTATGATATAAAAACTGTAGCAGATTTTGCAAAGAGGAGAATGATAGTTTGAAATACATTGTTGAGATCATAAAATCAGCATAGTGAGGAACTGAAAGTCAGTTTAATAATGTAAAATGTGAACAAAACAAATCTGTTTAAAATATTCAGAGTTTTCATTAAATTAAATTTTAAGAGATTTCTTTCATTCATATTGTGGT